GCGTCCCCCCCCCAGGGAGAGAAGCCCCCGTGGGCAAGCCAGGCCAGAGCCGCCCTCGCTCCTCAGCCCTTCTGGTTCTGCCTGGAGGAGCTGCGACCAGAGCCCACGTGCCTTAAACCCCAGCGGGGAGATGCTTCTCCTCCGTTCCCACCCCAGGGATGCTCCCAGCCTCAGCCCCTGCCTGTGTCCCGCAGGCGCTGCTGTGGAGCATGCGGTCCTACACCCTCATCCGAAGGCTGGAGGGACACCAGAGCAGCGTGGTATCGTGCGACTTCTCGCCGGACGCGGCGCTCCTCGTCACCGCCTCCTACGATGCCTGTGTCATCATGTGGGACCCCTACACCGGGGAGCAGCTGAGGACACTGCGGTACGGAGCTGGTGGGGCCAGTAAGGGACCGTGGAAGGGGGACAGAGCGATGCTGTGGGGGTTTGTCAGGGCCAAGCGTGGCCTTCCCTTCTGGTTGGGCACAGCCAGCACCTCTCCCCCGTCTCCGGCAGCTGAAGGGGGGCTCTGACTTGCCGGGTTGGGCCCCTCCACCAGCCCCGGAGCTCTGGGGATGGGGCTTACGGCAGCCTGGGGCTAATGCTGTCCCCCCACCCGCAGCCACGTCCCCTTGCACTCGGCGGTGGACTACAGCAGCGAGGTCCACACCAGCTCCCTGCGCTCCGTCTGCTTCTCTCCTGAGGGCCTCTACCTGGCCACGGTGGCGGATGACAGGTGAGTGAAGCCCCTTGGGGACCTCCAGCGGGAAGAGGGTCCCCAGGAGGGCACCACCAAAATGAACCGGGAACTCAGGACGTGCCGGGGGGAGCAGACCTCGCGTGCCAGGTCCCCCACCAGTGCCCGGCGTAAGGAGAAAGGGGTGACTGCCTGGGACACCGCGGCTTAGCTGCGGCAAGGGGTAGCAAGGTCAGGGGCCTGTCACCCCTCTGAGCGACGAGCCGGGCCCCTGTCCTCCTGCGTGCTGTGCCACCCTCGCCGCGCTCCTCGGCGTGGTCACTAGCTCTGTCTGCGTCCCGCTCGGCTCTACAGGGGACAGCGCTTCTCGCCTCGCTGCCGTGTTCTGACACTCCTGGGATGCTCTAAGCCCAAGGGAAGAAAATCCCCCTCCAGAGTTTGCATGCGTTCAGGGGAACCCAGAGGCTTTATTTTAGCTGCAGGCACTGCGCGGATGTGGTCCTGGCATCGTGTCCCCTCCCTTTCTCCTCAGGCTCCTAAGGATCTGGGCGTTAGAGCTGCGGTCTCCGGTTGCGTTTGCTCCCATGACCAACGGCCTGTGCTGCATGTACTTTCCACACGGCGGTTTCATTGCCACAGGGTGCGTACGTGGGAGAAGAGAGCGGAGGAACACGTGGTTGCTCCCTCCTCCTGCAGCTCCGCAGCTGCTCAGCGAATTCTGGGCTTCCCTGGGGGTGCAGGCTGGTTTCCTGGGCTGGGGAACGCGTGGTTGCTGCAAGCTCGGGATGTTTAAGGGTGATTGAGTTTTGTCGCGTTGCTCTGCCCTGTGCTCACGGCTTGTTTGGGTCCCGTTGCAGGACCAGAGATGGCCACGTCCAATTCTGGACTGCTCCAAGGGTCCTCTCGTCGCTAAAGCACTTGTGTCGCAAAGCTCTGCGCACCTTCCTGACAACGTACCAGGTCCTCGCGCTCCCCATTCCCAGGAAGCTGAAGGAATTCCTTACTTACCGGACCTTTTAAGGCAGCGCGGAAAGCAGAGGGATGGAGGTGACAGCCCTCTGCCTGGTGACGGGGCTTGGCCTGGGTCAGAGGAGGCACCGCAGCAACGACGTCTCGCTGATTCGTGAGCCGTGGGGCAGGAGGATTGCTGCTCCCCTTGTTTTGGGGCTGCGTCCGTGAACGTGGAGGGATTTTTTGGTATAATAATACTAGAACCCAGCAAAACTGCACGCAGAGGATGCGAGGGACACAGCTCCCCCTATCCCCCTGTTATCCGCAAGTTTTGGGTGAGGTGCTTTTGCTCCCAAGTGCAACGTTGTGGGTTGAGGGTTAGAAGCCGCAGTCTGAGCGGAGCTTTTGCTGTTTGTACGAATACGGGGGCTATAACCGTCCCTGACAAAACCGACCCTCACCGGGACCGGCTCGTACTGTAGCTTAGTTCCCGGAGGAACACGGGCTCTGTGCGAGCTGGACAAACCTGAGCAGGTCTCTGCGGACTAGACGGCAGCGATGACAGAATAAAGAAAAAAAAAAAAATTGATTCCTCACATCTTTCCTCTTGGCTTGTAGAGGTGACCTGGGGATACCTGGCAGG